TATAATATTTATAGGAATGATTTAATACCTGAATTTTTCAGAAATTGTCCACCTTTGATTGATGTTTGAGATCAAATTGTAAGATTCAATGACTTCTATTTATAAACAACATTATTCTACAACTCTTATAAATAGGGACGCTAACGTGCTATGTCATCGTGCACTATGACACTACTAAATCTATATGTATAAAATTTAAAAGAATTGATCAATAAATGAAAAAAAGTAAACTAAGGAAGAGAGCTAAATTATGGTGGGAGGAAGAAGGGAGGAACTCATATATACATATATATATACACACACATGTAGAAGATGAATATAAGTTGAAAAACTTTTGAGATTCCAATACCTTTTGAATTCCATTAATTTCAATTAAAGTAAATTCATAAATTGTTAGGAGTAAATATACGTAACTTTTCATATTCATAACTTTTATGTTTTTATTATTTAAAGTCATTAAAAATAAGAGATGACATTCTTGGTAAATTAAAAATCGATAAGTGGGTAGAATAGTCTAAAAATGTTTTTTCAAAATACTCCCTTTTTAATATAGTATAGATTATAGATATACATAGTTCTTAAATTTACCATTGTCATTTTCTAGATTGGAGTCGAATGTGATTTGTCATTTTCTTTTCAATTCTATATTCACATTTCATATTTATTTTTACTATTTTAAATTATTTTATCACATTGTCACTCTAAAATGATATGGTGTTGAAGAATTTTGAAAAGTAGTTTAAAAAAAGATGGATTATTAGAATTATGGTAATTTAAAAAACACTAGGAATATATGCAAACCATTAAAATTCACTTATTCATGAATAAGAGGCAACACATAATCTTTTCGCAATATTATTTTTCTATAGTCTTTTCACTCTATTGTTTTTCTATTTTCTATTAATACTGTGTGTGTGTATATATATATATATAAAATCCAATATCTGATATATAATGAAAACATAGTAATAATCCAACCTAAAAAAATAGTAATATAATGTAATTTTAATTATAATATAAAATAAATAAGCACTAATGATTTTTATTGAAAGAAAAATTAATGGCTTACACACTTTTTACAATCTTACATCTATGCAACATGCAAAAAACTATTATATAAAAATCTAATAACATGGAAAAAGTCACCCACATGAAAAAATAGCAATCAATAACTCATTAAAAATTTTATATATTACACCCTATTAATCATAAAAAAATAAAAAAAATTGATTGATAGTTTCATAATTAAATATATATATATATCAATCATAAAATAACATATTTGTTTGGATAAAAAAAATTAATATATAAAGGTGTAAAGCACGTGCTAAAATACTACTAATAAATTCTCTTTCTTTTTTCCATGATTCCCCCACCTTATATCATTTTCAGTTTAGGTGACTCGCTAACTCATGCAAACTAGAATTTGTCCTGATTGCCAAACATTTATTTAAAGAGAAAACAATGTGGTCCATTCAAGAACCACCTCATAAATTACAAAAAGAAAAATCGAATAAATTTAAATAATAATAATAATAATAATAAAGAGAAAATCCCATGGAAACAGAATGAAGTGATGGGGGCGTGTGGGCGTGGACCCTTCTAATTGACTGAGTGACAATTCCCATTTCACCACTCTGTTTTTTCTGTTTCTTATAATAATTAAATAATCACTCCCAAACAAACGCATTCTTTGGTCATCAATCTATAGGTGGAAACCAATGGATGACGGTCACGTAATCACGTTACCAGAAGTGAGGTGATTGGGTGATTGCTCGAGTTCATTTTCACCCACTTCGATATTAAATAATAAAGTGAAAATTTCAGTTAAAGAATGCCGTTCTCTTTTCTATTTACTGCTTGTCACATTACTACTATGTTAAAAATGTTGTAGAGTCCATTCATTCTATTTATTGTGTAAATGAAATGGAGTATGGTACTCTCGTAATATAGGAAATTTTTTCAAATATAGGAGAAAATTTAGAGTCCAACATGGTCGATTTGTTTTTGACTCGTTGATTTGTTTGCTTTTTATCTATCAAAAGTAGGTTAGTATGATTCGATCATGAGCCAACTAAGCTATAGTATTAACTATGGGATAAAAAAAAGAAGACGTACTCTAACAAAATGCTATTGATTTTAAGAAAACTCAAATAGGAAGACGACAAACTCATTCACAATTTACTATCGGATACTTGGCTTGATTCTAAAAGTGAAAGAGGAAATTAGCTTGATTGATTCAAATCTAAGTCATAAAATGAGAGTATTTTAAAAATACTCAGTTCTCTATTTTTACTTCAAAAAGTTTCCAAATTAAAATAGTTGAATTACCATCTAGAAGATTACTTGAAAGTGAATATTTTATTTTGTTGTCCACATTCAAATAATCTTGTTTAGTCACCAAATATAAAATATTTACCAATTTTTAGATTAGCTGTGCTTAAGGTGCCTATTCATGATGTTTTAGTCGGAGATATATATCAATTATCATTAAGCTTATCTATATTGATGATCTTAGTTCGAATTTCTACCACCATTTGTTGTACTAAAAAGAACGACATCAATAATTTTAAAATCCAAAATCAACGTATTGAATTTTTTTTAGTACAACAAATATAAAAATAAAAATAAGAGCTGTTTGGCTATATTCGTTTCTTGTCTATTATTTTATCCTATTTATATTTTTTTGTCTTTTTTATCTTCAAAATTGTATAAAAATTTTAAAAACCACCGAAAACAAAATTTTAATTCCTGTGGGGTACACTAAAATTAGAAACATTACCAAAAGTTGATCTGTAGATAGAAACCCACTCGATAATGTATTTCTTGACGAGTTTGAGGTGAATTCTGACTATTTGATCCTAAGCAAAACGTACAAAATTAATTAATTATGCAAAAAAGGAATTTAGAGTGTGGGAGAGAAGAAACAGGTGGAGAGAATTTTGGGGCGGTTGGTGGCGAAGAGGAGGAAGGACGAAACGATTGGATTTGGGAGTGAGCCTTCAATTTCATGAAAGAATGAGAGATTAGAGATTAGAGATTCGAGAGGACCACATGGAATGAAATGGGATGGGACGTGATGGGGGATGGGATGCTCCTCCACGCGCGAAGCAAAGGAATTGGATTTGGAAAACCGACGATTCTGAGTAAATTTAGTGCGCAACAGCCGCTAAACGCTACCCCTGTCCAGATTCATCCATTATTTCTCTCTCTCTTCCCTCAAATCCTGCCCCTTCTTCCCCATTCGATCTATCGCAGCCTCATCACTTCTCCTCTTCTGGGTATTCTCTCTCTCTCTTTCTTTCTGCCTTTGTTGTTTTCTTTTGTCCTTTTTAGTTATTTGCAAATGTATGTTTCTCTGTTTGCCTTTTTGTCTGTTGGGACCTTTCCTTGCCTCTCATTTCTCAATTTTGGATTTCCCATTTAAGGGTGTTCTGTAAATTGCTTCTGCTGATTCTGTATCTGCCACCTCCTACGGATTATTTAGTTTACTATGCCAATTCTAATTCTAAATGATGGAGGTCGATCAAAGCTTGTGTGCAATAGCAATGATATCATCGCCCATGGTCTTTGATTCTGCATTTGTTTTGTTCTCTCAACTGAAATAGATATGATATTTCTCCTCTTTGTTAGCCTAAGAGGGAAATGCACTAAGTTTTGTTGAAGGTGGCATCGGCATCCTTCTTGTTATGAAGTTTCTTTTAACTTTGCTTTTAGATTATTCAAAAGATAATAGGAATGCAAGGTGTTCTGGTTTTGAAAGATGGTGTTCTGATGTTCTATGTTCTCATTAAAGATCAGGAACAATTAATAATGGAAGACAGAATGTGCAACAATCAACATTATGTAAAATATCTTTTGTGGTCTCAAGATTAAGATTCATATGGAATCCAGCTTAACGAAAGCCTATTGTATGGCTCAAGTAGAGGTAGAAACGAGAAGTAGTAGACCGTCTTTATAGGTCATTTAATTGTTGAGGTATGACCAAAGAAACCATATTTTGGAGGCTTTATATGGTATAAGAATTAAGTATAATGTGATTGTGAACATGTACGTGGCAACATACGTGGCAACATAACAGGTTAGCTTTCCGATTCTTATATAGTTTTATGAAATGTTTTAGAAGTTAAGAAGTTGTGGATAAGGATGCGGTTTTCAGGTAGCTTGGTGACTATGTCCCATGTGTACCGGCAAAGATATACGGTCGACATTTAACAAGATGAGGTTCTCCTAGGTCATTTTCATAAAAAAGATACCTCTTTATGTGGAATCTGCATCTCTTACTATAGTGCCATGTCAATATGCCTATAAGCTCGTTCTTGATTTCTACATAACATATCTGGAGCAAGTGCAAACAAGTCTTGTTGTTGTACGCAATGCATAGGCTACTAGGTACTTGAATGTGAATCTGAAGGGAGAGCACTGGTAGCAGTGTAGAGCTAGATGCATTTATGGTGTGATCAGTCTGCTAGTCGTTAATATCTGAATTAGTTTCTGTTAGTTAATGTGATTATACTCACCCTTACAACTTCTAGGCACAGTTTCTTTTCTCGTAGCATTTTTGTCTGTTGAAATTTGCGATTGTCACTTGCAATCAGGGTATTAATTTCCAATGACGTTATGACATATCAACATTCCTCGACATTTTAATTTGTCAATAGGTTCGAGATCGACATAAGGGGTCTTTAATCGAGATTTCCGTAGTATAGTATCGCAAAAAGATCGACAAAATATAAGAAGTATCAATAAAATACAACTAACGTGGACATAGATAGTCATCAATATCGACATTTTATCGATATTTCCATTGACATTGTCATAGAATTGAGACCTCAAACGGCTTTTATCGACATCGACATTTAAAATCTTGCTTGCAATTAAGTAGTAGTAGCCGAAGAGTTTCTCTTGCTTTATGCCATCTAAGGGAGATGATATTCTGTATTAAATTTGATTATTCTTGTGCTTTCTCACAAAACGTTTATTTTTCTTATTTCGTGGTATTTTATTCAGTCATCAAAATGCCCTAAAATTTACTTCTAAATTGTATCAATGAAGTGAAGATAAAGAAGATTTTAAGTTGATGATGACTTATTGTAGTGTGCAATGAGTTCTAACTGAGGTATTGTGCATAACTTATAAAGTTGTAAAATGATCGATTACTTGTATAATTAGAAGAACGACACTCTGAAATGTCTGCTGTGGGAAATGGAAATAATATCTTCTGGCACGATTGTCCTGTCGGAAAGGCTGAAAGGGAGAAGCTTCTCAACCAAAAAGGCTGTGTTGTCTGGATCACAGGCCTCAGTGGATCAGGTCTATTCTCATTTCTGGATTACACATTAGTCATATAAGGATGAAATGCTACATCTTTTTTCTCCCCTCTGCTATTGCTAATTCTATTGTCCATTTTTATGGACTGACGTTTAAATATACATTATAAGCCATTTTCTGTTGTTGTAGGGTGCTTTATTTGTTTCCAGTGGAGACTAAGTGGTGAATATATTTAGAAGTTGTTTGGCTATTAGTTACCATTTCCATTGGCTTGTATTTTTTAGCAGCACTATATATATACAGAGGGCAAGAAACCAACTGATAAATGAAAGTTGAAGAGAGGGTCACCGGAAAGTATGCCAAGGCAAAGGAGAGGAGCCCGTAAAAAGCTAAACGAAATTACAAAATGTGGTTCCAGTTGTTAAAGATAAGTAACAGAGTAGAGAACACACAAAAGAAGGCATTGAAGTCAATCACACTCCAAACCTCTTTCCAAGATCTCTCAATATCTTTGAAATTTCTTCTGTTTCCCTGGAGCTTCCTCTTGCTAAAGAAGCCATCCTATTTTGTGAAGAGGAGGATGGTCAAGCACCTCCTCCGTCGTACCTTGACATCCTAGCCAAACTAACACCAATTGCCTAAAGATATATACTGAAAACTTTTGTGACAAATTGACATCTCCATAAAAGTACTATCCAGATCCTTTGACGCTTGCTTATACAAAACACACTACTAGGGCCTAAAACCAAAGATGAAGGTCTCTGGATGTAGTCCATGGCGGTAATCCTCCCCAAAGCAACCTACCAAGAGAAAACTCTAATATGTTTAGGAATTTTAGCTTTCTAGAGCTTAGCAAATAAAAAGGAAGATGAAAGGATAGGATGAGCGTTCAGACAAATGAAGAAAGTTTTACGAGGGAACAATCCAGAAGATTCAAAGATCCAAGAACGAAAGTCAATAGAGTTTGGAAAGAGACGAACTCTGTGAACAAGCCAAGCAATCCTGGAGGTGCAGCATACAATATACATACATATGCATTCTATTTTGCACTGACGTCCATAATTTTACATACACACAAAAGAAATCACATATGTACTTATTTCATTTTCTGGGTAGTCTAAGCTGAAATTTCTCTGCAATATCTCAGTAATGAAGTTAAAAAAGAACACTGTTGTGCAAGCTGACAGGGTTTATTAAAAACTTTCAAAGATTGATAATTTGGAAAAAAATAATTGATGAGAAATGCAATTCACTTCGTGGAAGAT